ATCTGATGAGCATAAAAGACGAATGAATAAAATTTGGATCAAAACGAAAAAGATTTTATTTAAACTGCTGAACAAATATTAAGGTTTCAGTCTATTAATGGTTACTAAAAAGCAAAGATTGCCACAATTGTCACATTTCTGCACAAACTGACACAAAATGAACAACTAGTGCTAGAAAAATGAGCTTAAAGCGGTGAAAATTGATTTCTTTCAGATTTAAACTTCTGTCAGTTTATAGGGACATCTAAACTGAGTCCATTTGTGCAAGTTTAAGTATTTCTCTGATAGATAGTTTACGAGGAAATCGCGTTCAAAGTTTAAACTTCGATCGCTTTTTCTGCAATTATGGAAGCAGATTTTTTCGTGCAACTCATTTGGCTATTGTAACCTTCGATGATAAGCCCAGAAATGGAATTATTTTGAGAGAAAAAACTTATTTTTGCGTAAATCAGATCAGTTCGATTTTTAGTTAAACCAATTGCTGTCTGTGGCCGTAAGAGTTACTTAGCTGAAACTTACTATCAGTCCACAAATATTGTTACTTAACATCCTTGATCAACTAATTTTTTCATTTCATCGGTAATTCGCTTGGTTTTGGCCATTTGTCTAAAAACTTTGACCCTAAATATTTTGAGAATGGAATCACTCACCTCCATTATTCTTTCATCAAATATTAGATTTTACTATGGACAATAACAATCTACTTCTGAATGCCGAATAAAACTTGAGCTAATTCATTTAATAATAAATATTATTCTGTCACATAAGATTTGTGTAGCCATTTAGTTTTATAAAGCAAGTTTAAAATCTATCAATATAAAGTAATACGATACCATAACTTTTTATTCTAGTACCATGAATAATTTAATATTTCAATTTATCATAGCACATGATAAAATTTAACATTTGATCAAAGAATGATAATTGTATGTGATGTCAGTCTCGATATATTTAGGGTCAAAGTTTTTAGGTTGATGGCCAAAAACTAGAGAACTGTCGATAAACTGAAAAAACTATTGAATTCATGATGTGTTCCATGGATTTCTATACATTGGTAGTAAGTTTCAGCTAAGTAACTCTTACGGTCACAGAAAACAGTCGATTTAACTGAGAATCGAACTGATCTGATTTACAGAAAAAGCAAAGTTTTTTCTCTCAAAATAATTCCATTTTTGGGTTCTTCATCAAATGTTACATTATTAAAATAGATTTCACGAAAAAATCTGCTTCCATAATTGCAGAAAAAGCGATCGAAGTTTAAATTTTGAACTCGATTTTCTCGAAAACTATCTATCAGAGAAATCTTAAACTTGCACGAATGGACTAAGTGATGGACTCACTCATTTGTCCCACAAACTAACAGAGTCTAAATTCAAAAATTCACCCGTTTTTGTCCATTTGTATGGTTAAACCAATATTTATCATATTTATTAATAAATACCAAAAAATACTCTTTAACTTTATTAAGTCAAACTTTATATTATAATTCATTGAATTAGCATTCATCTGATTATTAACAATACTAAAGCATATCATTTATTTATTGAAACAATCGAAACGATCAAAATTGGAAAAAATCTTAACAAGAAAACATAAAACTGAAGGCAAATAGTCATTCAGCTATTGTATTTAAAATTATCACAGATTGGTTGATTAAAATTTACTCCTCGATGTTGTAGTTAAAGATTTAAAGAGATAGATTCAGTTGAAAGTGAATTACAATTTAAAGCTTCGTTTCTGAAACTTTGGAAACACTATTCTCAATAATAACTACGGCTGAAGTCTCATCGTCATCGATGGCTGATCCAATAACATTGTTACAATTAAGCGTTCCACTATTGGGGAAAATTTGAAGATCTCGGAATGATCTATTTGTTTCAATGGTATTTCTGTTGTGAAGTAAGTGATTAGATGATAATTGTTGCTGTTGATGTTGTTGTTGACTCTGTTGTTGTACAGGATAATGATTTATAATATTAATTGGCTGTTGATTTTGGTGGTTATACGAGGGTGAAAATAAGTGCCAATTACCATTATCTACAAACATATCATCAATCTCGGTTATTTGGGAGCTTTGAGCCTCACTAATCACCATTGAACTTCTTGGATTCATTCTTTCACTATCTGGATTAATTAGTTGACTATTGATTACATTTGATGGTCTCATGTTTAAATTGTAATTATCACAAGTTAATTGATTCTCGATAGGAAGTCCAAGTTCATCTTCATAATAACAATCTGGTGGTGGAAATTGGTGTTGCTGCAATTGATTTTCCTGGTTTAAATTCTGCTGCATAATCAACTTGGCTTCAGTTTTAGGATCTATCGGTCCACAAATACCAATGTCACACGAATTCTTCATATAATTTGAATTGATACTCTTTATCTGTCTAAAGCCACTTATCGAGGATCGACTGATTGTTGTTTGGGGTGAACTACGATTTTCAACATCTGATAATGTATTTGGTAAAGGTTTACGCCAAAAATCTGGAAACAGAAGTGATAATCCTCCAGCAATCATAGATAGCGATCCACATAGTCCGATAGGGATGAAAGGAGCGATGAGGTTGGCCTGAGTATGTAAAAATTTGAATCAATTATTGCAGTTCTAATTTTCATTATCATTACAACTTACAAGTACAAGCAAATTAGGAGCTGACATTTGGCCAACGATTCCCCAGCCGAAACAGCAAGCAAAACCAATCGCTCTTTATTGATATAATGTAAGGATTGATCGAGTGAAATATTTCCAATTAAGAGTGTTTGGTGGCAAAAATAAAGAAATAAAATTCATAGTTAATATGAGAAAATCAATTAAAAGATTGGAAACTGAATTAGTGCTTTAGCTGATTCAATGATTGGATTGAATTTAACTTTGAAAATGGCTATTCTAAAGCAAGTGTGATTTCAATTCAAACTGATTTTGTTGTATTATTAATTTTAAATGAATGTTCAACTTTTAAACAAGCATTCACCTCAAACTTTAATTAAAGTTGAAATGAAAGTAAAATCTGATCTAAAGATAAGGTTCATTGAATTTTGATTGTTTCTAACTCAAACTTGGTAAAAAGTCTTGTTGGTTAATACAAAAAGTACAATCAACATATATTAATTAGACAATTGACCCTAATTATTTGTTAAAATAGATGTTGATTATATTTGCAAACATTTTTTATTTTGCACTTTGTTCACTTTCAATCATTCCAATTCAGCTTTGTTTTGATGGTTGTTTGAAAATGATTCAAAAATTTGTCTTTTACCTAATTCCAGTTGGTAATGTTTTAATTGTATGATACCAAATGAAGATGGGTAAAGTCATGAGTAAAGTACGAGCTCCTGAAACAAGTGTTGATGGGATCAATAGCAATTGATATTCATAGCCTGTTGATATAAAGAGAAGATAAAATGATTAATTATTTAAATCTTTGTGAAATTGGTAAATGAAATGAGAAAGAATCATAAGTCA